TCAGCTGTGGAAGAGGAGAATGAGCTCCGTTGCAGCTGTGGCCACATCTGGGAGGTTCTGCTCCTTGGCTGGCACAAAGGGCAGCACAAAGGTGGGACCCATGAAGGTTGATGGCTGGACTAGACGATCCCAATGATCTTTACAACTTTAATGTTTCTATGATCAAGCTAGGACGAGAGCAAAATGCACAAAAGGGGACATGGATCCAAGGAGTCTCTAACCAGGGATTAATAACCCAGATGTATGATAAGCAAGCATCCCCCTCCTCATCACAGGGACTGCAGCCTGAGCAGTAATCTGAGAACGGCTAAAGGCAGGGAGCAGGGGCTGCGCTCAAAGCCTGCTGGATTCAAAGCAGACTCCTTCCTCTGATTTCAGCGGGAGCCATAAGAAAACACAGAGGTTAACTCAGGGTGGCTGCAGCACGCAAAGCAAATATCTCCCAACAGGAATGGGATTTGTGTCAGAGGATAACATCAGTTAGACAGCAAGGGGAGCAAAGAAGCCTTCTCATTTCTGACACACAGCCATTGTTTTCAGGATTTTTATGCTTTTGTCCATGCTCTCCCTTATTTTCTCTCCACTTGCATTGCTCCTGGCCAGTATTTCATCATCTTCCTTAGCTGTTAAGCCCCAGTGCCTCCCAGTTCTGCTTCAACTGCACTTTAAATAACTGTGGCATCACCCGAGGCTGGCTCAAACAGCTGAGCTGCCCCAATTAATGCTGTGCTGCTCACGTGGGGAATGCAGCCCTGGGAGACCCCGTGAGCAGGTGATGGAGGGAGCTCTCAGCCTCCCCATAGCAGCAAGGCTACAACCAACACTGGTTGCATATGATGGTGGTGACAAACTTCAGTTGCTTTCAAACAGATGTCACACTGGGTGACATGGCTTAATTAGCAAGGTGGTGACGAGAGGATGGTTGGACAGAATGATCTTGGCGGCCTTCCCAACCTGTGATATTATGACAGAGCGTGAACACATGATGGTGCATCCTAAAAATAAGATGCAGAAAGCAGGCAAGCATTGATACATCCACCAAAGAGCCACAGTCTCCAGAGGTGTGTGGCTCAAGCTGCAGGTTCTCAAGCTGGTCTGGAATCTGGATGAGAGCTAATTGCTTCAGTTGTGCCAGGGAAGGCTCAGGTTGAGTATAGAGGGAACTTATTCTCAGAAAGAGTGGCTAGTTATTAGAACAGGCTGCCCAGGGAAGTGCTGGAGGTTGTCCCTGGAGGTGCTCAAGAAATGTGCAGATGTAGCACTGAGGGACATGATGTGGATGGATTGAGGGTTGGACTAGATGATCTTAGTGGTCTTCTTCAATCTTAATGATTCTGAGTCCTAATTTCCTCCAGCACCCACCCTGGCTCTGCATATCCCTGGAGATGGTTCCCACCACCACCAGCATCTTGCAGCCTCCTAATGTTTCCTCTACAGAAGGGAGTGGGGTCTCATTTAACTACCAGCCACAGCAGTCACATGCACACTGGTAGCTCAAAGCAAAAGGATACTAAGAAAGGAAAAAAAAAAACAAACAGCCCCAGCAGCTAAAAAGCCCCATAAAAGTCTAAAATATCTCCAGAACCCACAGGAGTGCAGAGAACGAGCCTGTCAGCTGCACAAGCAGAGAGCCCTGGTAATGCAGCAGTGGAAAGATTTAGGAAAAAACCAATGCACTTGAAGGGAAAATTAATGTCTCTGGACACCTCTGCTCCCAGTGCAGACTCTAGCTTGGAGGCTTGACATGCTGCTTCGAGGAAGAGCTGGACAGCAGTGCTTCGGAGAGAAAACAGATGTGAGGCATGGGCAGCTCCAGATCAGAGACGGCTGGGGTTGTCTCCAGCTATCAAGGGAGAGTCTGATGCCACCTTACGGTCTGTCAGCACAGATAAGATGCACGACCACAACCCCTGCAAATGCAAAATGTGCTGCTAGATGGTGGCATACTTGGATGACCATGGAGAGCCCTCCAGAAGCAGAGGAAGTGGCTTCAGGAATGGCACATCCACCACTTCTCTTGGCAGCCTGCGCCAGGGCTTCACAAACCATCTGAGTAAAAATTTCCTCTTAACGTTCAGCATAAATCTCCCCTCTTTTAGTTTGAAACCACTGCACTGCTGCAGTCTGCCAGATGTGAAGATGAGAACGCAAAGGAGCAAAGCAATGGCCTTGGGTCCCATGAGCTCTTTGCTGCATCACCACATTGCCAACGCCTGGGTTCACTGACCACCCACAAGGGCCAGGAGCACAAGGGAAAACAGATGCAAGTGACAACAGGTCTCATCTCTTACTGCAACTCCATGGCACCCTGGGGCAATGGGATGGTGCAAGAACCCGCAGAGCAGCAGCCATGTGGGTGTCCCAGGGTGGGAGGTGGAAAGAGGGAGAGGAGCAGCCCTCAGCAGGGATACTTAGAGAGTGAGAGCAAAGCACAACAGAGCTATTTCCTCCTCCTTTTGCAAGAAGTAAGCAGTGAGGTGTGTTTCTCATGGGGAACTACGCTATTAGCCTCAAGTCCTGCATCAACAGAAGACTTTAACAAATGACACTTGGGGAATTCAGGGAGGAAAAAAAATCTCCCAGATGAATAGCTGACCAGCACAAGAAGCAGGACTGCAGAGAAAGAGCTGCATCATGGAAGCATCTGATCTTTGGTCCTGCTTTATGGGACTCATATGGTGAGAGATCCCTGCTGGCCATAACACAAAAGGGTGAAGACGATGGCAATGACACATTCCTCCTTCCAGAGCCAACAGCTGCCCATTTATCTGCCACCTCTGGCACAGCCAAGTGCTCAGAACCACTCTTGGATTATTCCCTCCTTGTATAAAATGCCTGTGGCTGGCTTTTCCTCCTCCAAAACCGACAGCAGTGACAACAAAAAGCCTTCCTGCCATCTGGAGAACTGGCGTCCATGAGTCAAAACATGTGTGGCTGATGCACACAGCTGCAGAGCCCATCTGCCTGGCACACTGTGTGCCAGCCACTCCCCTATGGTGGGCTGCCACTGGGCATCCCATAGAGAAACACAGCTTGCCTGTCCTCCTTCTCACCTGGGATAACCAGGTACCCTACAGTGGGATTGATTCTGTGACCCCGGGCATTTTGCCAGTTGCCTTCAAGGGTGGTAAGGCAATGGAACAGGCTGACCCAGAGACGTGGTGGATGCTCCATCCTTGGAGACACTCAAGGTCAAGCTGGACAGAGCTCTGAGCACCTGATGGAGCTGTAGGTATCTCTGTTCATCGCAGAGGAGATGGACCAGATGACCTTTAGGACTGCCTTCCTACTTACTCAAATGATTCTATGATTCCATGGCACCATGGGTGGGCACCTCCAGCCCCATGTACCCATCAGGGTGGGAAGAAAATAGAATCCATGCAGGTACCATCAGCTCCTGCACACCAATCCCTTCCTATAGAAGGAGTGCAGGCTGGGTGCACTCCTCACCACAGACCTGTTGATTTCAGCACCTCAGGAACTGGCTCTCCAGCACACTCCTATCCCAAAGCAAACCTCTCCATGCTCCTGCCTCTCAGCCTTGCTGGCTGGGATGGTGCAGATAGAGAGTTTCCCTCCTCTGTCCTGATCCCAAAGCCACTCCGCAGTACCGGTGGGAACGATTTGAGTGACAGCCAGCACTGCGCCTATGTGCAATGAAGCCGACTGTCACCTGATGTCACGTACGGCACCAAGCACGCTGCTGGCAGCCTGAGGAGAAATGAATCCAAATGTCATCCAATGCTGATCAGAACAGCCAGCCCACCCCTCAGCAAATTGCTAGGAAAGCCTCACAGCAAACATTTCCCAGAGAATGACTTCTTTCTGTCCGCAGAGCGAGCGCAGCTCTGCCAGTATGCTCCAGCACTGACCCTGGAGACTGGCTTTCATGGGAAGAGAGGACAGCAACTTGTTCTCCAGGCTCTTTGGGCTCCCAGCTGAGTCCTGGGCTGAAATGATTTATGGACGCAGGGCCAAGGCCAGGAATTTGAGGCTTTTCAAGAGTTGCCCATTTCCCAAAAGAGTGTGGCTTTAATTTGTTGCTTGCCTGACTTCTGCTTGAGGCTCAGCCTAGAACAAGACTGCCAGCGAGCTGGGAAATCAGAGCTACTTCCCCTTGCGGTTTCAGTGGTGTAGATGTCTGTCCATGGAGAATTAGACTGACACTTCCAAACACGTTACACACAGCCACCAAACAACCAAGATAGGGAAACAACTTGGAGAAACAAAAGAGATCACGCCTGGGGTTTACATTTCCAAATGGCAAACTCAGCACCGGAGGAACATCCTGGGTTAGTGCTGTTAGGCAGGGAGTGACACACAGTGACTGAAGCCCCTCTGCCTTAGGTGCCTACCAACAGTTCTCGCCTGACACACAGCCCTGGAGGGATGGGTCTGGGCGATGTGATGCTGAGCATCTCTCTGAGATGTGAGGCTCAGAGGGCTGTGAGCTGTGGACACCTGGAGAAGTTCTGCTGGTATTTGGTGGAAGGCAACAAAGCCAGGATGGCTGGGAGCTGTAACAGGGAGCAGAGATAGAGATATGGGGGTCAGATCAGGGCTGGACACTGATTTATCCTCATGGGGAAGAAATGAGAAGAATAACGCTGGTGTACAGCCTTGCTCCCTCCTTCGGCTCTCCCCTCCCCTTCTACACATTGGGGAGGCAATGTGATGGAGAAATTTTCTCCACAACATCGTTCACCTCTCAGAAGCCCCACCTTGCCCACGAGATCACCTCTATTATTCACTCCCAGAACATCACGAGGATTTCCTAAGCCCTCTCAAGAAGAAAGCCCAGCACTGTACACACATCAAGCAAAAGCTACTGAAAAATCATGGGAAACTCATTGGGATGGGGAAACTCATTGGGAAAGGTGCACCACTGGGCTCAGCCAAAGCTACAATGAAAGCTTCAGAGGGAAACCCCTCTGAATGGGCTTAAGAATTCCATCCCAGTGCCCTGCGCTCCCCCCAGGACAGCGCACGCCGGCACGCACACGTGCTGCTGCATGGAGCACATAGCGAGCCGCGGTGATGCTCTCAAGGGCTTTTTCGTTTGCGCTGCCTTCTCTGTGCCCTTCTGTCTCCGGGGGCAAAAAGAAACGGAAAAAAATCCCGAGTTCCCAACGCAGGCAAATGAAAAATCCTTGTTTCTAGGTCCCGATTGACAGCACGGTTCCACCCTCGGCGCTCCCAGGCGACATCCCCTCCTGTCACCGCATCCCCCC